TGAAAAAAGTTAGAAATAATATATGTAAAAACCTATTTTCTTTGATATTTGTATTTCTTTAATAATTGAAATCAATAATGATTTTTTTCATTCAAACACAATAACTTTTATTTTTTTCTTTCTCCCTTTTTAACTATTTTTTAAGTTCATCTAATGTTGAGAGGCCTGAATATTGCTTAGAACTGTAAGTAGAGCTGAAATATTAATGATTTAATTATCTTGTTCATTACCATATTGTCACTCGTTTCCAAAACTTTTTATTGAATAAGAGGAACCATTTACAGAATTCCACTCCCTATCTCTTAAATTTAAGTACGTTTAATCCACTAAAAGGCCAGATTGGTTTTACCAAATTTCAAATGTGACACTACACTAGTTGATATTGTCCAACAATGTTTATTTTGTTTGATTTTCTTAAGTATAAATAAAATTCAGGTTCCTTTATTTAATTGTTGTGTGGTATACTGAACTATTTTATTTTATTTTTTTCCCCTTCAGTTTCTCAAAAACTTGTTTTGTTCTTAATTGATTGCATTGCTGTAGTTTATTATATTCTGTAATACATGCATTTTTCTGACAATACAATAGCACAGTATAACACTTGCATTCCTTTGTCTGCTTCTCATTTAGACACTTCATTTTCCCACAGGTATCAACCCAATATGCTCCTACAGTTCTTCAAACAATTAGTAATCCTGACGGAACAGTTTCCGTAATCCAAGTGGATCCTAATAATCCGATAATTACATTACCTGATGGTACTACAGCACAAGTTCAAGGAGTGGCAACGGTACATTGTCTCTAAATAATTTAATATATTGACTGAAATTTGCCATTTGTGTATATGAAAAAAATGTTCGATATTTTTATGCAGATCCATGCAGCTCAGGGAGATGGTACACCCACAGTCCATGCAGTTCAGACGTTGGCAGAAGTGGCTTCATCACAAAGTGATGGAGTTGCTGTTGACCTGAATAATGTTACAGAAGCTACGTTAAATCAGGATGGCCAAATTATTCTTACTGGAGAAGACGGACATGGTATGTTGGAATACGATCAATAATGTAAAGAATTTTGTAATGAAACTACCTAGTTGACACTTGAATATTTTGTTTTAGGTTATCCTGTGTCTGTCTCTGGGATGATTACGGTACCAGTATCTGCCTCGATGTTCCAAACTGTCATTGCAAATTTACCGCAACTACACACCCAGGGGGATGGTACCATTCAGGTGAGTGCTAGGTTTATATGTGAATGTTGAATGGGCTTTGTTTGAACTTATTATGAGCAATGCTTTTCTGTGTGCACATGTGTTAAATGAGGGTTTTCATTTTTATAAAGTACTGTTTTCTTCAGTGCTAAATAGTTTCTTTGGGGTCAGTGCATTTCGAGTATATGTCATATCCTGTATGTCATGTAGAATTTTTACTGTTTTTTTAAACAAAAATTAATTAAGTACCATTGAGCATTCTTTCATTATTGATGTGTGTGTAGTTTTTTGTTTTTATGAAATTTGCATCACTTGAGGAAAGAGATTGTGTACATTAAACACTTGTAGTAGCTTTTATCTCCAGTTTGGTTTTCAGTTATTCAACCAACAATGAATTTGTGAATAATGGAAAAAGGTTTCAAGTTGATGTATAATGAAAATGTACTACCCAATATAGTTAATGCATAAGTAGAGGCAACTATATGGATAGCAGGTTGGTGTTTTGAAGGAAAAGTCTGCTTTTATTTAGTGTTAATGATCTGTTGGGAAATCCAGAGGCCTAGAGGGAGGGAGTCGGATTTATTTGGGGCTCCAAAATTTATTTTCATTAAAACAAAAAATGTGAGTGTGTGTGTGTGTGTGTGTGTACAAATTAATTGCTATAAATTATTTCCATTGAATGTAGGGATGAATTCTGTTTATGAATTGTGGAAAAGAAAACCTGAGGCAGCAGACTTGCAAAAGACTTTTATTTCAAATAAGACTCTTCTGCAGATCTACTGTCCCAGGCTTCTTGATTTCTCTGGGTGCTCTTAGGTAATTCTAAAATCTTCATTTTCTAGACAGTTTTGGATGTTGCAAGATCGTGGTCTCATAAATGCTTGCAAATTTTATATGCATTTTAATGCCTCTGGATGGGGTTTGTTTGTTATGTTGATTTTTTTCTTCTTCTTCTTCCTCTCTCTCCTTTCATTACGGAGTAGGAAAATGTATTTCATCATTTGCACCCATGCTTGTAACTTGTAGATTCCCTTGTCTCATAGATAAGAGTGCATGTTGCAGGTGGTAGCACCCATGGTCCAAGTGCCGAAAGTGGAGCCAGCAAACGGTTCAGACAATGTGGATGCCATTGCAGTGACTCCTCAGTTGATGGGAACTCAAGTAGTGACTATGGGCAATGAACCTCAAGTGTTACAAGTACTTTCGCTCAAAGATGCCGCAACTGTTTTAGCAAAACCTGTGTCGTCGTCGTCATCTCCAGGATGTGATGTGAAGGAAGAAAGTTCACCTGCTGACCAGTAACGAAGGAGTCTTGTACATACTAGATACATCTTTCTGCTGCTAAATTGAAGGCTATTTATGTCCAGTTTCATGGGAGTTATAGCGAGTCATAGTTGTAAAACCTTGTTTAGTACTTAATTTATTTATCATCCTAACATGCAGTTTATGGTGAGTCTCGTTTGTGCAAATTAAACTAGCCAATCAAATAAAATTAAGCAATTAAAAATGTGTAGCTACTTTTAATATTTTTTGATAACCAGCTTCATCTAAATGACTTTAAGGGTAGGGTATCAGTGATTTATTTATTGGCTTATATTTCCTTAATATAGGATTACTTCAAGATTGAAGGGTTCTAAACAATTTTATTGTAAAATGTACCTGATGAAATCAAGGAAGGAAACATGGCTTGGACATCCTTTTTCTGTTTGTATTACGCACAACTTCATTGTCATTTGTCAGCCATTGTACTCATGTTGGGAACTGAAATATTTGTATATGTAAAATGAAACTCAATATAAATAGCTTTTTGTTGAGCTGTGAGAGAGATGGAAAATGAGAAGACATCTTCTCAGTCTACCTACCAAATAGCTCATTTTGAGTCCTGTCTATCTTGTAAACTTAAAATTCATGTAAAGTGAATATCGCATTTAGATGGAAGTGGATGTGGAAAACCAGTGTGTGGATGATCTGCAGTTTGGTGATCAATATGTTTTGTTGTTTTTCCCCCTCACTTTTATTTTATTTTATTTTTTTTTTTGCTTCCTGTGATTATTGTGCCATAGGAAATAACAAATTTTGTATTTCAAATCCATGTTTTCAACGCAATTAACTTTAAAAATGTATGTTTCTATATGTATTTAATGTATATACTTTTCTTTGTATCTTCTGGTGTAGAACTGTTATGTGTGTTGAATTCATTGCCATTAACTGGCAAAAGAATGTCATATTATCAGGGATGAACGCCCATTCAAATACTTTTCATATTTGATAGACTGATTATGTTGTTTTTAATTTGTAAATGTTTACAAAGTGCATTGTTGATACACAAATTGTAGTAAATCTCATTTATTTATTGACTCAGTTCTCATGACTTGTTGTTTGTGTTTAAGTATTTGTAAGTTTAGCTGAACAGTTTTTGTAGTTATGTATTGCTGTTGCTACTGGTGTTTAACACTGTGATGGCAGTCAGATGCAAAGTTCGACACTTCTATTTTATCTGTAGTTTTTCTTTCTTTTTATTCTCCATAGAAAAAGAAAATAGACTTTTGTTGTGAACCTTTCAATCGTTGACAAAGTTTTGCTTTGAGCTACTTACTGTATTTGGGGCCATATTTCGTCCAAGGAATTAAATAACATTCCATGTTATTGTACTGCAGTTCTGATACCAATGGTCACAAGTGAATGGAATGATATTAAATTTAAAGTGTGTAGCAACAGCTAGACATAAACTCTGTATGTTTGGTACTTTTAGTGCTGTTACTTTCAAGTAGTGGTCTGAATGTAGTTTTCCTAAGAGTTCAATTATTTGCAGCAGTTGATAACACTGTTCAGTGGGTTTGATCTATACATTCCGCAATAAATCAACTGCTGTGCAGTAATTTGGCTGCTTCTTCTGCCTTACTGTGTAAGAGTAATGTTGGGCAGTACATACTTCATGTTAGATGGCCTGGTATGGGAGGAATGCCATTGTGTATTTTAGGGGGGGGGGGATCATTAACTTACCACTTTGGGGCATTTTCCTTCTTAACCAACTTTTAAATTGTTTAACCGCAAGAAATGCAGAACATGGAATGGATATAGTTGATTTGTTCTGAATGTTTCTAAGATTTAAATTTTTTTAATATTTGTATTCTGTATTTTATTTTAATGGCTCAATCTTCATGAAATTTGTCTGTCTCAACATTCATTTAACTATCAGCAAGTCAGTAGTGTTAATTGTTGAGTGTGTTGTGTAAGAAACCAAAAAATCGTTGTTGATCTATACCAAGATATGACAACAATGAGTTCAATAAAAGATGTGGCAGGCATGTGCAATTTCCAAGTGAATTAAATGCTTTGTGTTATTTAAAACATGTGATCTCTCTATTTAGTATGTTTCCATGGAAGTGTGCAACTCAATTGAGATATTCACTAAACATTTTTTACTGTTATATAGACAAACCTAGTGCTGTAGTCATTCTACCCATTTGATGAACTTTGTGTCCAAACTTAATACTTCTGTAGACCTTGAATGTTTGCTGTCTCCAAAACACATGAAGTGTGCGTGTGTTAAAATAAAATTTAAAGTAATTTTGATTCAGTATATTTATTGTATGCCCCACATTTGACATTTGCAAATAAGTTCAGGAATTGGGTACAAGGGCTTCAACATTAATCAAACAAAACTCTCCCCTTTCACATTTTATTTATACACATCTGTACACTTAAATGGCAACTCTGCTATTGTCAGGTGCTGCTTATAGCATGAACTTTGAAATGAAACTAAAATTTTCCTATTAACCAATACAATCTACATTTCATACACACTCTGTAATGCAAGCTCTGGTTTATCATAACCCAATTCTTCTGGCGTGTTGATTCCTAATTCATCTAAAGTGGGTCGGATTTCTTGCAGAATATATGGGTAAATTTCCTTAACCTTAGCTCCACATCTGTCTTTCACAGCTTCTAAAAACCTAACAGCCAATGCGAAATCACTAACTCGTCGGCATGCTTTAAGGGCTGCATTAATGATTTTGGGTTCGGGCACAAGATCCATTCCACAAAGATCATTCATTGCTTTCCTGATTTCCCATCCATCAATATCTGGCCGATTGAAGAACGTTTCATATCGTTGATCAAATTCTTGATCAGTTTCTGTGGAATGCTTCGACATGCATCGCTGAGAAGCTGTTAAAGGCCGTGCAGCCGACTGTATAGTAATTCCCTTAACAACGGTATTGATGCGACAAACTGCCGAGCGAAACATTTTATATCGATGCTTAGAACTTTCGTCCAAATATTATATTCCGACCTGTGCAAAAGAATCAAAATGGCCGGTCAGAATAAAATTCATTCTCTCAAATTATTCACAATATATTACATATGATTCGTACTATTTATAAACAGCATAAGGTCTTATCATACCTCAATTCCGCAGCAACTTCTAAACTTCTCAGATTATCGCCTTGTACAACTGAATCCGAGCTTCTTGCAACACCATCCAATCGTACAGGGAAAGATATTCTATTCCGACGTGCGAGCAGTCCACATCAAAGAGCGTACAAGATTACTAACGTAACCCACAGGCTGGTAGCATGCATAACCCAAACGATTTGTTTCTTTTGCACATCGGGGTATAATATTGTCGGACATTCTAAGCAGATACAGAATCTTCAACTTTAATACCTTTTATTTTTAACAAGACAAATATATATAGATTTATATTACAAAATGTTCTACCATAATAGATGGTAATTAGGTAATCATTTCTTTTCAGAAATTAGACGGCTTGCGAATATAGACCCACAGGAGCCAGAACCCTCAGAAGTATTTAAAGGGTGGTCTGCATCAAAAAATCTCAACATTGAGCTCTGTTGATATCAATGGCTTCTATACCTCCCATAATAGGGAGTTTGTACACACCATAGCGGACAGCACTATTGATCTTCTGCGCATGCGCAGATACCTCAGTGTTGCGAAACTTGAACTACGCAAGCGCAGAAGATGGATAGTGCTTTAACGATCAAGGGTGCACAAACTCCCTAATAAAGGACATGACAAAGAGTTTCGGTTATTTTCGTAGATTGGCAATAACAAATAAATTTTCTTATTAACATATTGACTTCTGATGTTCGAACAGCTGGGACGCGGTTTTTCAATCGCGAATGCAAGTAGGGAAAATGAATTATCTCTCGTTAAAAAAATGTATTCATTTTATTTGTGTTGTGTATTAAGACACAATGCCGACACATAACTTGTGTATTTAAACACAAGTATTATGAAGTCGGAATTAGTTGTCGATATTGACTGCATCAAACAATGAGATGGGAAGCAAATTTCGAGTGAAGGAAGGACCAAGTCTCTCTCTATATACTATTTATAGGTATACTCTATGGGTATACAGAAGGACGCAGAAGAGCAAAAATTTCTGATCACAAGCCGTGTACTCGCCGCTGTTTGGGATGGCCCCGGCCGCACTAGAGATGGTCGTGGGATGGTGCATGAGCGATTGCACAGAGCACGATACGTCAATTTGTAACTGGCAATTCTTTTATTAACGGATATGTTTTTAATAATATAATAAGTTCATAATAAATGGAAATTGCATTGAAAGTGAATGAAGCTACATATCATGTTACGATTTCAAAGGCAATTACAGAATTAATAACAAAAATAATGAATATCCAATTGTTAGTGCAAGAAACTAAGATACGAAATTGGAAATATTTTCGATCTACAATCTGATAAACCAGGTCAGATTTTCAGTGTATTTATACTTACTCGATTGCTAATTCTTTAAAAGAAAAGGATTTTAAAGATCTAAAATTGAATTTGATATTCGTGTATATAGGATTTCTGGCAGGGACAAGCATATTATTGAAATAAGTATTTTACACTACTCAATATAGTGGTCTATGTATTTAATAATAATAATAATAATAATAATAATAATAATAATAATAATAATAATAATAATAATAATTACAGTACATGATAACAATTATGGTAACAGTTACGTATGATTTAACAGTATTAGCATATTCCTTAATTAAATCTTGAAATGAGGAGGAGGCAGGTTATGGCCAAATGTTTTCCTATTTCTACACCTAGTCCTATTAAATTTCAACACACCTCAATGAGTACAAATCTATAAAAATGTGTTTGGGTAAAAGTATGAAAATATTTTTTTTATGAAAAAAATAATGGATTTTTTATACAAAAATGGAAATATTACGGCTCCTTGGAATCTGGTCTAGACTTCTTGTTTTATATACTATCATAGATTATTTGTTATCTACTATCATACTTTTTTGTTAAATAATAAACATATTTATTATTATATTGTAAATTGTTTTCTAGTGTATATGGTATTATATAGTATTGTTTAAATAATTACACAATTTTAATATACTACATATTTAAATAAAATTTAGAAAGGATGGTAACAAATGAAAACTCCAAGCCTTTGGGGGAGCGGCCATGGCTCTCATGTGCTGCTCCTCCTTCTCCCCCCCCCCTCCCCCCGACCAGTGGCGAGAGGTTTTGTCGTCTATAGATGCGCCGGCGGACAAACAATATTTTAAAAACAATCCATTTTTAAAAGTTTCGAGACGAATTAGAAATAAGAAAAAAAGTACAGATATTTTCTGGTAAAAGAAAAAACTGAGACCACGAAATAACGAGAAGCACATAAAAGATTCGCCAAAATTAGCGAATCGAATTGAGAGCTCGCTGGCGCACAAGATGATTCACCTGGCCATAGCCCTGTCTAGAGAATGCAATGGTCCGGCGGTTTCGTGCTTTATTCCCTTGCACGGCGATAAGAATCCAGTAATCGCCGTTTTTGTAGAATCTCGGCTCTATTCGGCTATGCGCGGTGAAACGCGTGATTACCACTTAGAAGGGAAGCTGTAATGTGTTTGCCTGCGTCCTGATAGTGCTTGTGTGTGCGAGTACGTGTGTGTGTGTGCGCGCGTGCGCGCGTGTGTGCGTGCGTGCGTGTGTGTGTGCTTTGTCCCCGCATTACAACGCCAATTTACTTTCAAAGGCAAGTTTTCTCTCTTCACTTGCCCGGATCCAAGTCACGGCGAGGCTCGGGCCTTCGGTTCTCGCGTTCACTATAAACATCCTTGAGTCTATCCAACCCATAATTACCACTTCACTTTTATAAGACATCACTTTTCAAGAAAACCTCCAGAATTTTAACTACCTAGTTAACGCCACAACGGCGCGAAGTGCCGGTTTAAACGACTTCCTTAGGTTGTACCGTATACTACATTTCAGCCCATAGTTTAACTGAAACAAAAACTATTTGGTTCACTTACATTTAAAGAGACGCTTTTTCCATTGATTCATTTTTCAATAAAAGTCGTTTTTTTTATCGTTGTAAAAATTTGAGAATTTGTTTGCTAACTTGGATTAAATTATTGTTGAATCGCTGAGATTTTTTTAATGAACTGATTGTTTTTAATATAATTACAGCATTTCAAGACTAATCTCCTTGACAATAGGTAAATTTTTTGGAAGAAAATTTTTACTATGCATTTAAGGAAATTTTGCATTTGGGTATATTAATATGCACAGTACCAGCACTAACAGCATCCGTGGAGAGAAGTTTTTCTGTTTTAGAAATAATACAAAATTATAAAAGATGTGAAGAGTGAATGTGCAGCTTGTCCCTTGTATGAATTGAGAAAAAACTCTTGAAATTCATAGGTGAGAAGCAGATTCAAAAATTTAACCCCATCGGGAAGGCTTTGCTCTATATATGTAGTAATAATAATGATGATGATAATAAAAATTAATAATAATAAAAGATGATTAATAATAAATTATAATTACTAATAATTAATAATAATTTATTGCTCATAGTCTCACAACAAGTATCAAGCTAAGTCTGTCTAGAAATTATTTAAAATTACAATAAGTTTGATATTTTAACAACATTGACTTACAGTAATAATTTAATAAATTTACATTATCTTGATAAATTATATGCTGAAATATATAAAATTGATTAATATAAACAATTAAATTAATTTCACTTTTAACAGTAATGAAATTCAATTACATGACTTAAAGTAATAATTCAAATAGTTTACTTGACAAGTTACATGATTACATAAACATGCAAGTGATCATAATAAACATTATAATAATTTACATTTTAAACTACACAAAGTCTCATTACCAAATTAAAAATAACATTAACAATATATTACATTAAGACTTAGCAACTACATTAGCAACTTAGAATTTTAGTGTGTTATCTCACAGTAGTCCAGTAATTAACTTCAATAACTTGAATACATTAAATAATAATAATAATAATAATAATAATAATAATATTTGTGAGGGCTTAATTAGAATGTTTAAGAATATTTATATATTGTTATCTTATAAATTCATGAATTTCAAAACAACGTTGTAATTTGACAGCGTCCAAACCCAACACATTAGTTCAGAAGATAAATTAAGTACATTTTTATGAATTAAATCATTTAAAATCTAAATGTATATGCGTATCAAAACCGTTGACATGATCGTTGTACGAATGAATAGCATTGTCTAGTGTTCATTTGTACCTTTTTTTGCTTCGTCTGTATTCGAAAGTTCAACAATATTTATAGTTTATTCAAGTGCGGCAGAGCCGACGCGAAGGACTCCGATGCTTGGAGAGGGTCGGAAATTGTTATTTGCACGCAGGCCGTCGTCCGTCCCGGTTCCGTCCTATTCCCTGCACAAGTACATTGCCTACGACCTTTTAAAAATGTTTCACAGAATTCAGGGACAAATGGTTCATGAGTTTTTAATTCTTATTTTTGCACTTCTATTTGGTTTCAAAACGGTTTTATTCGGTATTCACAGGTCGCTTAGCTTTGCTTGAGTGCCAAAACGCCATGGCAATTGTGCCTGAAGTCGATTTGGTTCAGGATTATTGCGACAGCACGATGCCCTTTATCTACAGCCCTATTGATATAATAAATCTGTGTGGAGTGATTTTAATGTTTGTTTGTTGTTTTTTTAGAATAATCAAGACAGATTTATATGACCGTAACGTATAAAGGTTTATTCTATGATGGAACCCGGGTTGAGCATACTACTTTAAATTTAGTATTTAAATTCTTCGCCAAAATACATTGATAATAAAAATTTCAAGGGTACATTAGATTTTGATTTGCTAAATACATACGTATTTTGAAACTTCAAATACAATACAGTAAATATAATAATTTTTTATTTATAAATTTTTGTTGCATTAATATTTTATAGTTGTTAATTGCAATAAATTAGTGTAAATTCTTAATTACATTTAAATTCTTGTTATAAAATGTATTTAAAAATTATGAATTTAAGATTTGTGCCTATTGTTGAAACTCAAATACCTGAAACTCATGGTTTTAGAAAAGGTAATCATGTTTAGATTGACACAACTTGCTGAAAATTGAAGGGAATTTAAACTAACAACATACTATTTATTGATTAGTACGTAAAATGGTATGTAATACCAAAAAAGAAATCCGGGTGTATAGAGGAAAAAAATATTTTCGAAGGACGGCGACCTTTAACAGCAATACTCTGTTAGTGGCGATTAGAACAGCTCGTCGACACATTTTATGGGGGACACTATGATACGACGTTCACTTGATCAATATTCCGTTTTCTTCGCTCCCTTAGTAAGGGGAAAGGGCAGCGTTTAAACTCCCTTTTCTTTCAGATATCGTTAAAGAAAAAAGTCAGAAATCTGGTGACCGCGCCGGGCAGTCCACATCGCCACTCGGAGACAAGAGGCACCCGGAAACATTTCTCGAGCTGTGGGTCCAGTAGCTCCATTTTGTTGGATCTATAAGTCCTCCAATCCCTCTTCTCCAACACTCTTCAATTCTAGGATGCACAAAATTAGACAACATTGGAACATAATGTTCAGAATTTACGGTCACGCCTTCCTCTTCAAAGAAGTACGGGGCAATGACGCCAAATTGAGACAGAGCACACCACACCGGTACGGAATATGACGGTTTTTCGTGAATAATTCGTGGGTTATTATTGCTAAAATTTTGTTTAATGCTCTCACAGACGGCGCGGAAAATCCACCGCGGATGTGGCGCGAAAAGTTTCTCGCTAGACGCAGCTGCGAAATCCGCGGGTCAGTCCACACCTTAACGGCAATCAACACTCAGCGTTTGGTGATAGTTTTCCCTCATTCGATAAACAAAGGCAAGGGATCTCGACCCAAAGGGAAGCGAAGACTTCCGAAGACGGGCGGATTTCCACAAAACTCGAGCGGCAGCGGGCAAAACGTGTCCGACCGCGTTACAAAATCCGCCGTGAATTAAACGCTGCCAATCGCTGCCACGACGCTCGCCTACCGCGCAGGTCTGAACGTTCTCATCAGGCAACACGTGACGCGAAATATCCGCCGAGGCCATTCCGCGTAGATTGCGGATCTTCCGCGCGGCTCTGTGGGAGCCTTCACAAACCCACTGATATGAAAATGTGCCTCGGCAGAGTCGAGGAAAGCAACGTCCGGGAGGATTTGTGCAAGTGCACGAACAGTGGAGTGGCATACGCGATCACCAGATTTGAGAATTTCTGACTTTTTTCTTTGGAAATATCTGAGGGATAAGGAGTTTTAATGCCTCCTTCATCAGATGCCTTCATATGCCAGATGCCCATAATGCCTTTATACCCTACCAGAGCTCAGGGAGCGGATTATTGAACAAGTGTACGCTGTACCCCACAGTATGTGTCCGCCTCCGGCAGTGTATTACTGCTATAACGACTGCCATCTTCTGAATGATATTTTCAAAACATAATGAATATAAAATGGTATGTAATACCAATTTCGAACATTAAAACATTTTTTCACTATATACTCGAATTTCTTTTTTATAACTTCTCAAAACTGCTTAGTCTGCTCTGGCCCATCCTGTATTAAGAAAAAATCTCTATCTTTAATATTGTAGTTGTAGGAAAAAGCCGACAATTTTTGAACTTTTGCAGTTTTCGAAAAATCTGGGAATTCAACTGAAGACCTGAGCTGTATGAGAACTGCATCTGTGTTTTAATCGTCCTTTACGCTATCCGAGCACAACGCAATTACATTACGCGCATACCCAATCATTCGAGCATAATGTTTAATCCAAACATTGAGAAGCATTTTTGAGAAAATTTAGAAAATGTTGAGGGTTGGCAGATCTTTTCGTACTAGTTAGTTTCCTTATCTCTTCAGTCTGGGTTATCTTTTCTGCATTGCCCACCTCTTCCCTGCTGCCATCTATTGGCGCCTTAAGCACCTTTTTTCGCGTTTACTCAATTTTTCGGATCTCTCATAACAGAGTTGAAATACGAATTTACGATTATTAAAGAAGGGTAAAATCTGGTCCCAAATGCACATTTTCATTGGAACATTTGGAGCCGTTTAAAGCGTTTCTGAAAATGCACATGTTGAAGTTAATCTTCAACCAAAACTTGTATTTTGCTAAAAACTTCATAAAAGTATTTGAAGAAATTGTTTTCACAAATGCAACGAGAAAGATGTGCATGTAATTTAATTATTATGACGAAATTATTTTAAAAGATAATAAGTATGTTATTTACTTTTTAGAAAAACAAGTGAATACGGCAAAGTGCCATTTATGACATGCCATTCAGTGCATTTAGCACTATCCATACAAAAAACTTAAAGGAAAAATATGGAACTGTTTTTTGATAAAATCACGTTCCTAAAAACGTGGAATTTTGAGTTCATTTTCAAAGAAAACTTTTTATTTTTTGAGTTTTCGACAAACTTCGTAGGATATCATTTCGATCACCTGAGCATCAATGTTTACAAATTGCCAGTAAAATAAATATTACAGTAAAGAAAAAATTGTAGCTGGCTTTGAGAAACATTTTTTAAAATTGTCTTTTATTGCTTGTTTAAACATTTCAATGCAAAATTACGCGATAACTATTTTCAAAAAATTTTCATGACCAAATCTGAAGGTATGTCTTTAAAGAACATCTTTCATTAAGGTATATTATACTTTTGTTGTTCGTTCTAGAAAATTTGTTCTCTCTAAAATTTCAGTTGTCACTTCTTACTATTTTACCCTGTTTTGTGTGTGTGTGTGTGTGTGTGTGTGTGTGTGCGTGTGTGCGTTTGCGCGTATGCGCGTGCGCGCGTGCGCGTGCGCGTGCGTGAGCGTGAGTGTAAATAGAAGTGTAAGTATTGTAGTATATTCTCTAGGCCAATGACCCCATCATGATTAGGTTTTTTGTCCAGTTTCCCTGGTTTTTTGAGCAAATGCTGAGATGGCTCCTTGTTTTGCTTCTGGACAATAAAAAATAAATGTAACTTTACTCACTGCTCTCAAGAAGATGTATGCATTTGTACTCCCTCTAAATATATCACATTTGACACATCATACACTATTGTAATTGTATATGTGACACAATAAATATTATTATTATTATTATTATTATTATTATTATTATTATTATTATTATTATTATTATTATTATTATTATTATTACTGCTACTACTACTATTACAAACTCTAAAGCCATTTCCCCGAAAGTTGACTTTTTGGCTCTGACCTGAAATTTCCTTCAATTCTATTGAAGGTAACCCTATGATTCTTTTTGTGTTATAATTTAGAAATATATAGCTAGTGAATGAACCAAAACTGAACCTTTAAACCAATTTATTCACGAAAATAACTTTAAACAAATCATTTTTTGATTTTTTTAATTTTCTTGCAAAAAATGTTTTAAAATGTAAATATTAATGGTACAAAAATTGTTGTGATTGAAGCACGAGTTCAAATCATCTGTTATCATGACAAAAAAGAATTGAAGCAAGTATATAGGAAGGAATAGTAGTTTTAAAGTTATGATGTCACAGCTTAGAGCCTATTTATGTACCTAAAACTCTGTTATCTCCAAAAATAAATTTTCAAAAACATTTTTTCTTAATGTTTTTGTTTTTATTGTATTCATATGTATTCAATAAATAAATGAAAACATGTTATTAAACACTATTTAATTTTTTTGCATATTTGGGGGAGTAAAATGTACATTAAGGAAACTATTAGGCCTAAAACAGGCACATACTTCCTTGCCATTAGTAATGGTTATGTAATACTATTTATACCAGAATTTCTCACCGCATTATTTTTTGTAAAACTCATTTGAAATCGTAGAACAGTTGGTGCGACAATTTTCATCCAGTTTTTCAAAATTTTGAAATATGTCCCAAGTGCTTTATGTAAAGCAACTCCCAGAATTAAAATATCGATTTCAAATTCAAGGACCCGTGACATTAGTCAGATCGATTGGGGAATATTATTTTTGGAGAAAATCGGCTGAACAATTTAGCCGCTAGTGTTGTTCAAAGACGGACAGACGTTTCGCCGTCAATCGATTTTCCGACATCAAGGACCCACAAAACATGCATTCTGACTACACCATGAGCTAGAATATTTCCCCCCTAAATTAAGCCTCTGGATTTATCCAGTTTTTCGTTGATATAGCATTGAAAATGAGATCTGCTTCTTTCTTTTATGCGTCCTTTACGCTATCCGAAGACAAGAGTTTAATTCCAAAAAATTGGTGCATTAAAAAAAACGCTGAAACTAAAGTATCCCAAAAACGAATTTATCCGTTTCAAACTCAAGGTGCCTCATGTGCCTTTGAGTTGATCGAGGAATATCAATTTTGGCAAAAAATGGTCCGAACCACGACCCCCCTTTAGTTTAGGAAGGCCATAGCTAAACGGTTTAGCGTCGACCACAGATCGAAGGACGGCAGATGTTTTGCCGTCAATCGATTTTTCGGTATCACCCACATAATATGAATTCTGATTTCACAATGCATTAGAGTAAATACCAATTCACTACATGTAGGAACATGGTTTATCTACCTTTTTATTATCAGAGCTTGGCAATAAGAGAAATAATTTTGAGAATTCGCCGTTTCCCAGCGCACTATTACAATTCATTCTCTTAATATGAGTTAGGGCGAGAATGAAAACGAATGTTTATCCGATTTGTACGTAAGAAGGAAGTGATGCGATAGTTTCATTGAAATTGAATATGAAGCGTATTTTTGTAGTTTATTCCTCACATCTTTTCGGTGTAAACTAAGGCTTATGATGACCGCATCTGTTATCACTGAATTTTGATCGAGATTTTAGATAATTCAACGAGTTCCGAAACTAGCGGCGGATTTCCAAATGCTGGGCCTCAAAACCTGGTGTTCAGATCTAAAGCGAGGTCTGAAATCTAAAAATATACTGAGCAGCCGAAAACGTGTGTGGAGAGTCCGTACGCTAGCAGCAGCATGGCAGAATTCGACGTCTTGCGTTGACAAGAAAGATCGCAATGGCTTGTGCCTTTTGCGCCAGACAGAGCACAGTTGTGATTGTGTTGGTGTCAATATTTTTTGCATGTTCGGCGCAAAACTTGGGCACGTGAGTTTCATTAGTTTATTGAAGTCAATGTAAAACTAATATAAGCTCACCATGACGGACGTCCACCAGATCTATTCTCCAAAAATGTCTTAATAATATGTTTCTCATGAAAATTGTAACACATGGCAATTGGTCAATGTATACGTATTATGCTGAATGCCTGTTCAAAACTACTTCATATTTTTGTTCTTTCTTTCATGAAGTCTCGAAACATGGGCTGATAACCTGGGCGAAGAACTTTGGAAACTTGGTCAAGGAGTCACACAGGCTTCAGATCTCAAGACTGTAAGTAGTTGCAAGGACTTGAGAATTATTTATTTACAAACATGTTTGTTTTAATTGGGTTGTCCCAGAATTATTTTATTACAATTTTTTTTGTTTTAATTAATTTCAGCAATATAAAACAAGAAATGCTGGAGTTGATGAAAAAGATGGTTCTCATTTATTAGAAAAAATTGTGGATCGAGTTGCAAGGATGTTAAAATGGAAAATCGATGCTGTCCAAGTAAGTATAAATAAAGTTTTTACTTTGCTCTCATCATAAATGCAAATATCTAAGATAATGTGCAAATTTTGGATATAACATTTAATAGTGTGTACCCTATTGGTAAGGAAGAATTGTTTACTTTGAGTTCAGTAGTGTGTAGTGGATATGATGGATTCAAAGAAAGAAAATTTATCTTGGAAACACTGTCAAAAGTCTTGAAAATCAATAAATAAGACTTAAAAGTTCATTAGCATATGTATATGATTTCCCTTACCTATGTGATTCTAGTATAATATCTTGTTTGTTATCATATGCAGTTGGCAATTTTTTTTCCTAGTCTTAAGCAAAAGTAAACTTTTAATGCTCCAATGTAATATTAAGCCAAACAATGTTCATGAACCATAACTTACATTTCTGTCACAATTTTTTAAAGCCACAGACTTATTTTGTTATCTGCAATTTTTTTTAAGCAATGTCAAGAACTTTTTTACTGAAAAGAACGGTGTATACCAAAACCCCAAACAGTTTCATATATCTTTTATATTTTTAATGATTTGTGTCATATTGTGGTTGTAAACTTCTAAGTAATGTAGTAGTAGTTTTCAATTGCATAAACATAAATTATTGCCCTCACCATGTGTTGCACATTTTTTTGAACTGCATTTGAATGCCTATCATTTTTTCTCATAAGTACTTTCAGACAATAGCAAATTATAATCAGACAAAAACAAATTATAACCTAAGCAAATGAAACAAAGTAATATCTCATAGTGAAACACAAAAGTTATGACAATCCAATAGATTAGTACTTTATTACTCATAATTCATTTTATATGAAGAATTCATTGAAACTGTATTGAATGAATGTCACAAACATTTTGTATAGTTATAAAGTAATATCAAAGCAACATTCATTATAAAAAACTAAAATAAAAAAGATTGATTGATATTTATGAGAAAGGTTCAGAACTACATTTAATTTTATTATTTGTAAGTTATGTTTTTCGAGAGTAATATTGTTTGATTTTTCAGTTTGATATAATAATTTTTTTAATTTATTGGATTGAGCCTGTAATGATAGAACAATTTATATTTGATAATTCTGAAGAGATTTACTAAAAATGTAGGTTGTGTTGATGATAAGTGGGAGTATGTGTCGATGAAATATTTTTGGAGGCAATTACAATCATGATTTGATATGAATTTATCTTGTTATTCACATAATAGTTGTTAACAATAAGTCAAATCACAGTTTTCACTTCACTTGTTCCTTCATTTATTCAACTATGTAGCAATAATGGTCCTGACTATTCTTGAAGGTCTCATTGTTAACATATCTTTGAGGGATTTGTCCACTTATTTTCAGCACAATTCTCAATAAAATGTGATCATTCACGTCCTCATCACTTCCTTTTGCACCTTTATATTACGTTCTCCAAGTCTGATTTGGAGCTCTTGTAAATAATCTCTTTTGTACATTGTAGAGTCCACACAGGATTCTGTAGATTTCTATCACATCTCCTCTTTTCTTCTTCTGCTGTGCATTTCATCCTGAGGAGGGTCACAGTGTCATGATACATTGATGAAGATATATTTCATAATCCCTTCCTTCATATGACGATTGACAATTTTTTTTTTGAATTTTTTGAGACATCTCTGCACTTTTTCTTTTCTTTCTCTCAGAGTATGTAGTAATTTACAGGCTCTAAAATCATAAACAGAAAATTATTTTGTTTTTGAAATGAACTTCCGACATGTTTTAATTAATAATAAGATATTTATACATGAACCCATTAAATCATTTTAATTCATACAAATGTATGAAGAAATCATAGTGCAATTTGTTGAACAATATAATTTTCAAGAATATGTGCAAACAGAGTATAGAAGCATCTTATTGTTAGCAATCAAAATTCCAAATTATATTGTATTTCACTTGAATGCCATTTTAATTTGATAATTTATTCTTTTCATGTCCTATATTTTTCTATCCTACAATGCTTTCAAAAAATATTTGAAAAATGTCTTTAGGAATAAACTTGAGAAATTTGATATCATAGACATTTTATTTATTGATTGGGTATAAGTTAGTAGTTTAATTTGTAAGATTCTGACCATTGTTTCAAGCATGCTTTGACTGAGGCAAAATCTGGCAAAAAGAAAGTTCCATTAAAAAAATGTATGAGTTTCAAAAACAGTTATTGAGCAGATAATGCCAATAAAAATCTGAAGAGTGTGCTATTCTTATTTTTTAATATTGGATGAAACAATGTAATTGAACTAGAGGAGGAGAAAACTGCACAGGCCTAGCATTGAAAATGTTTTTGGCCTGTCATTCATGGAATAGGATGGAAGGAAGAAGTTTCATTACTTTTAACTTGTGAACAGAATAAATTTTGTGGTGAGGAGCTAACTAATTATTCCATAAAAAACATATCAGTAGAAGTCCTCATTGCATCATATTCCTTGGTGTACAAAACATCCAGGATATGTTGTTTTTCTTTTTAATCATATATTGCATCAGAGTGGCATCAGATTAAAGTCATTTTGGTATTAAATAATGTCCCAAACTCATCCCACCATTGGTACTATGCTGTCAGTTCACAAACCACAAAATATGGCTTCAGTCATTTTGCTGATTCACAATTAAATTGTAGCCAAGACCCATAATATGTTTCCAGCAATCAAGATTCTTTTGCCCCATCAATTCATGTTTTTGAATTCATGTTTTAAACTAAGCAAAGATAATGTATCTGCATCATAAATCCAGTGAAATAACACTTTCAATCCTACTTACATGTTCAGTGTGGTTTAGGCTACCGTTTTAATTCTAGAGGATGGAGCCTGAGTATAACTCATGTATCACAAATACCAAATTACCTAACAGGCAATGTTTGGTCTTTGGTTTGTGTGAAAGCAATATCAGGCTCCTCATGTTCCTATATGTATACAGGATGTTTTAGAGTCTACCACCATAAAATCAAACTGTATCTATTCTGGATTCTTATCTCCTATAACTATCCTATGTCCTCTGTGCATCTCATCCTGAGGAAGGCGGCAGTATGATGATATATTGACTCCAGCCTTGGAAGTCTGTGTTACACTTATAAATTATGTTTCAATATTATTATTTATTATGAAGAATTTTTTTTAGATAATAAAAAGAGTTGTATTCAAATTAATAGGCTTGTTTCATACAACATCCAAAGTCAATATTCTTTCCTCTGGTTAGGTAAGTTTCAAAGTTCTATTTGCCGTGAACTTCATACCCTTACCTGTAATTGATCACTTAATAAAAATTCCCCAAAATTTAATATGGTCAGCATTTTGGAATTAACATGGTGTTAAAGGGTCAGGACTGTAAGTGTTAATACATTAAAATTATCTAAACTTCTAAAATTAAAAAAAAAAAAAAAAAAAAAAAAACTTTTTGAGTTTTCTTAAGCTGTTGGTGTAATTAGAAGCTAAAAATTAATTTTTTTTATAAGAAGATTTTAATAATGAACCTTGAAGATGCTGGGCATTTTTGAGAAGTGACAAGTCAATAAACAAACTTCTTAGGATTTGAAGGCTATAAAGGAAGAATTGATCTAAAATTTCATATACTTTTTAAGAAAATATGTTTGTATTGTAAAATCAAAGAAACGTACAAAGACTCTTATTTTCTCATAATTGAGTTGTAAGAATATTTTCTTTAAGCTAGAAATTTTTCAGATAATGTTTAACTATTTGTTTTAATTCAACTCTTTGTAGTGTATTAAGACAGCAGCAGAAGATATTGCAGAACAGTTTGAATATGAAGGTTATGAAAACTTCTCATATCCAAGCACGAAACATTCATTAGTTAATGGTGAGCCACCAGAAGAATTTGATAATGAGACTACTCTTTATTCTCCAATGATGCTTGGATCTGATCCTCAATTTTATAATATTCTTGTGAATACTAGCTACAGTGCTGTTCATGTGCCAACTAATGTTTATGATAAAGGTAAATATTTAATGTAGCTTTATTCTTTATTCATGAAGTATTGAAATGAACATGTAAAGCTGTATTATGTTTGTATTGTAAAGTTGTTTTGTATACATTTCTAGGAGACCGTGTATGAACATTTTCTTATAACTCTTGTGAAAATATGAGCTTCAGATCTATATTTCTTTCAGATAATATGAAATTTATGGAATGAGCATCATTGAATATTGGTTCTAGTATTTAATTTGTTTGTGTAATTACAGCTCCACATGTAATTGAGGCTATTCAGTGGTCTGAACAGTTGGATGATGTTTTTCTTAGAAATCGTAGAAGTGATCCCCTTTTGTCATGGCAGTATTTTGCTGGCTCCTCAGGCTTTTTGCGTCATTATCCTGGTATGTTAATCACTGACTGTTTGTTTTATACATATTAACCAAAGTGTCATTTTAGAGATTAGAGATGTTTTACAGCTATGAAGTGGAATCAGTATCCTGACCTGTATGATTGCCGCACTCGACCATGGTACATTGCTGCAGCAACGTGTAGTAAAGATGTTGTTATTTTGATGGATACCACTGGTTCAATGACAGGCATGAGGCACTCTATAGCCAAACTGACAGTTAACACAATTTTGGATACATTAAGTAATAATGACTTTGTAAGCGTACTCAATTTTTCAAGTCATGCTACTGAAATTGTACCCTGTTTCAAGGATACGTTTGTTCAGGTAAGTCTTTCTCATATATGTATGACGCCTGAAAAATTTTGAAATTTTCGGAAATTTAAAGTTACACCTAAAA